ACAGTGCGGGTGGCGGGCGTGGCTGCGGTGCCATTGACTTCAGTAGAACCCCACGCCCCTGAACGCAGGGAGCTGGCCGGCTTGCGTTCCAATGCGCTCTAGAGGCCAAACACTCTGGAACGCAGCCTTTGTGGTATGAACAGGCCCGCTGTCTTGGCTGTCTCTTCTCTCTCTCTCCCCTGTTTCTATCTGCTGTCTCTTCTCTCTCTGCTGTCTCTTCTTTAACTTTCTCTGCTGTCTCTCTTCTCTCTCTGCTGTCTCCTCTCTCACTTTCTCTGCTGTCTTTCTTCTCTCTCTCTGCTGTCTCTCCCCTGTCTGTCTTTTCTTACCTCCACTGCAGCAGCTTCCCAGCTGCTTCTCGTGCGCCCGCGTCCTGTCCTCCCGCGTTGCTCGTGTGGCCGACGTTGCACACGGGGAAAGGGGTCCGGAGCACCGTCAATTAATATTTGGTAGCACAGGCCGTGGAAAAAATGACTGAAATCAATGGCTTCCTGTAACCATTAATGGAGTTTCTTACACCTCTCTACAGGAATTTTGGACCGCTCTTCTCTCGCCAACTGCTCCAGGTCTCTCAGATTGGAAGGGTTCCTTTTCCCAACTGCTGTTTTGAGATCTCTCCACAGATGCTCTATGTAATTTAGCTCCGTTACAGTACTCTCCAGCACTTTGTCTGAAACCATTTCTGGGTGCTTTTTGACATGTGCTTTGAGGTGGCACCATCTTGTAAGAGAGAGACGCCCCTGAACGCAGGGAGCTGGCCGGCTTGCGTTCCAATGCGCTCTAGAGGCCAAACACTCTGGAACGCAGCCTTTGTGGTATGAACAGGCCCGCTGTCTTGGCTGTCTCTTCTCTCTCTCTCCCCTGTTTCTATCTGCTGTCTCTTCTCTCTCTGCTGTCTCTTCTTTAACTTTCTCTGCTGTCTCTCTTCTCTCTCTGCTGTCTCCTCTCTCACTTTCTCTGCTGTCTTTCTTCTCTCTCTCTGCTGTCTCTCCCCTGTCTGTCTTTTCTTACCTCCACTGCAGCAGCTTCCCAGCTGCTTCTCGTGCGCCCGCGTCCTGTCCTCCCGCGTTGCTCGTGTGGCCGACGTTGCACACGGGGAAAGGGGTCCGGCCCCTTCCCGTCTGCGGCGTCTGACACATTCAGCCGGCAGCCGCACGAGCACCGCTGGAGAGGTGGCACCATCTTGTAAGAGAGAGGGAGGGAAGGTCTCTCATCTGAGCCATTCAGCTAACTGAGCTGTGTGTGTACAGTATATATCCAGACATCCTTTTATCAGTTCGCAGTCACATCTTGGATGTACACCAACACTCTGAAAACCTGGAGTATTAGATTATCTTGATGATAGTGGTACCTGAAACAACATCTAATAAAGCAGACCTAAAGTCTATGTATACCAAACTAATTTCCACCTACTCACTACCCAATCATGTGTTCTAATATGTAATGCTGGCCATGCGCTGATCGTTTTACTCAGGCTAAACGAGGAAAAAAGACAACCAACTGCCTACAACCATTTGCTTGTACTCCATCTTAGAAAGACTCTATATGAAAGACAACAGCACAACCCATAACACACACAGACAGCATACGACACAGGGCATAATACACATTGCACAGCACACAAGAGCATAACACAGACACAGAGCAACGCACAGGGCATAACACACACACACAGCGCAACACACAGGGCATAACACACACAAAGACAGCGCAACGCACAGGGCATAACACACACACACAATGACAGCGCAACACACAGGGCATAACACATACAAAGCCCAACGCACAGGGCATAATACGCAACGCACAGGACATAATACACACACAGAGCGCAACGCACAGGGCATAATACACAATGCAACACACAGGGCATATTACATACACACCACAATGCACAGGGCATAATACATACACACTGGACATAACACAAGCACAACACAGCATTACACAGACTGCACAAAACACACAGCATTACACATACACAGACTGCACAACACACAGGGCATAACATACAGGGCACCCAGACCCATCTCTATGCCCCCAATCTACTTGCTGGCACTGCATAAGTAGCTCCCCTCAAGCCCACAATCAGTTAGTCCTCCATTGGGCTTCCCCTGTGCATTTTCCTGTTAAAGATGGCCACATGGCGGCAGCCATCTTGAATAAGGTTGATAATGTGGCGGCCATCTTTAGTAAGCTTTACAATGCGGTGGCCATCTTTAATAAGGTTTTTAATGTGGCAGCCATCCTTAATAAGGTTCGTAATGCGACGGCCATCTTTAACATGGGCAAGGCACACGGAGGTGAGCTACGGCACACGGGAAGCCGCCGACTCATCCAGGAGTCGGGCACTTAGTCTTTGAACGTTAATTAATTTCCACTCGCCAATTACGAGGGGGCGAGTGGAAATTTTGAGCCCTGCACACAGTATATACATATATTATGTATGTATAATATGGAACCCCCCAAAAAGTTATGATTTTGGATGCAAAGACTCGCAGATATTCGGTAGATGCTGGAGAGATCTGGATAATTTATTTTACATATGCAATTAAGGACAACCCCAGAGTATAACTATTGGCATGAGATGATAAAACACTAATAATAAAGTATATTCCATTCTACTGAAATGTGAACCTATATGACACATTGCACGCAAAACTCCAGAAAATGGAGTGGACAAAATGATTGGCACCGTCAATTAATATTTGGTAGCACAGGCCGTGGAAAAAATGACTGAAATCAATGGCTTCCTGTAACCATTAATGGAGTTTCTTACACCTCACACACAGTATATACATATATTATGTATGTATAATATGGAACCCCCCAAAAAGTTATGATTTTGGATGCAAAGACTCGCAGATATTCGGTAGATGCTGGAGAGATCTGGATAATTTATTTTACATATGCAATTAAGGACAACCCCAGAGTATAACTATTGGCATGAGATGATAAAACACTAATAATAAAGTATATTCCATTCTACTGAAATGTGAACCTATGCTATTTTTTTTTTACGTCATGGAGGACTACTCTGAAGATGTGAACATGGCAGTATAGCTATTTTACTCATAGCACGGAAATAAGTCTCCCAGTTACCATCTACTCTGGAAATGTGGATTGATATGTTAACTCCACACTAAATGCTGAAACGTCAGTCTACCACCATAGAGGGAATAATAAAATGTGTTCATAAAATAAAATAATCTTTGGAAACTTTAAGTGGAAACCCTAGGACTTGCCCCAATAACTCTGTCTAGAGATAGAGTGCCCCTTCAATGACTGTCCCAGTCAAGAATTAGTGGACTGAAATTTGTACTCACTATGGACTGAATGTACTCACTTATACCACCTCCTTACCGTCTTTGACAGGGCCAAAATACCCCAGTAGCCCTCCCTCCGTGTCTGCCCAGCCAGAGCTTTGCGGTTATGGAAAAAAAAACACTTTCTATTTCAAACTTTAAAAAAAAAATCATAATGAAAGACACATTTTCTCTGTATGGTCCCTATAGTAAACTGTACTGGTGTGGCTAACAGTACATAACCATAAGGATCAGACATATAAAAAAAAAACCCACAGGTTCTATTTATACATTTTTTAACCAAGATTAATAAAAATTTCAAGCAGGATTCATACAGTTTTACAACTGGATCACAGAAAATGTATGAATCTTGGGTGAAAGTTGTGTGACTAGTGTAATAAAAACAATTTATAAAATAGATGAGGAAGAACCCCTAAGTGTTCAATAAGACAGCACATACATGCAGGGCAAAATATTTTTTAATTTCAAAGAATCTGATATAAAAAAACTTGCATATTAGACTTGGTGAGAGTGCAGGAGGTGGAAATTATCTTACGTGTACAGATGTTTAGAGTACACTTTTCTGAGTCGGATTATGGGTGCTGCCAATGCCGACTTGTCATCTAACTCCTTCCTTCCCTTTGCTACATTGTAAAACCTTTTCTTTATTGCTTGTTGAGGCACTGACCAGGAACAAATATATATATATATATATCAGGTGTCAGACACCCATCAAGACTCACCAAGTAGTAGTGGCCCATTCACACGACATCAAGATTACCTCCACACCAGACCAGACCAGACTGTTTCCGGACCCAAAATGCATCCCAATGTATCCCTATGGTATTTCTGGCCTCTGTTCCCACCACCACAGTCTGTTCCAGACCAGACCAGAAAAATACTGCTTGTCCTTTTTTGTCTGGTCTCGAATGGACTGGAACGCATCAAAAATGCACGGAACGCACTTGTAAGATAATTTTAAGCTTAAAAAAATAATAATTCCAAGCGCGGCAAAAATGCAATGCACTATGTTCCAGATCTGGTCCAGGTCTTGCCCGGAAAATGGTGTGAACCCAGCCTCAAGGAAGGATGACAGCCCAGAAGCATGCATCCATCTTCAAAGTCAGCAAAGGCTGCCCTCATAATGCTATCATGAGAGATTCTCTATATGGACATATATTGTTAATTATCTGATAAAATACCTAACCCTGCTTACAAAAAGGATGTGGATAGATGAATGCATTTTCTTTGAACACTGCCCCAATTGTGTGTGGTACCCTATTGAGTTGACCAAGTGCTAGTTCTAATTCTACAGATCTGGGATGAATAACTTCCTATTTATGCAATCTTGAATCAATCATGCAAGCTTATTGCTGTGATAATGATAGCATCCAAGCCGTAAGATATGTATGACATCTGTAACAGAATCACTAGAAGATATTCTGCTGTGTTTTTTTGATTATGAAATATCTATCATTTATAACATCCTTAGTGATATATATGAAGATGTGCTTTTGGAGGTCTGCAGCATATAGGTCACTCTGCATAGAAAAATGTATTTGCATCCATTTGATATATGCACAAATAAAGACTGTACAACAATAAAGAAATCTAGCACTTTATTTCCAATGAAGAACAGTACATTACATAAGCAACTGCTGGTAACAGCTGCAACTGATTGAATTAAATAAGAACACAGGTATAGAACAGGTTGTCTTACTGCTCTTTCTTCAGGCATAGCCAGGTCTTCGGTACTTCAAAGCTAGTCCTCACCACATCTGTTCTGTCATACGGAATATGGTAAGATGTGTCTGTACTTTGCACTATTGTATCATAGCTCAGGACAGGCTGTATAGAAAAGAAAAAAAAATGTATTCATTACATTATTCTACAGCCTCTATACATAAACCAATATTAAAGGGTCAACCCTCCAAAAATGATCCTTCAGTCCTGATGGTCTCATATTTCTTGGGGACTGTACTGGTAAGATATCCTGGGTTTGCACTCTTGCTGTGGACACTATGAAGGGGTCTCACTGTCCCTGTCGGTTTTTTTAATTTAATTATTCTATATTTATGTTATAGAGAATCCAACAGGGATTAAAAAAACGTACGATCTGCCTATCTTGGACAGGCAGATCGCACTCTCGATCATCGCACTTCCGATGACCGCAATGCTGAACGGGCAGTGTGCGCATGCGCACACCGGCCCGTTCGGCATTTGTCTTCCGAGCACCGTTCTAACCAGCCGAGAATCGTACGATTCCCGGCTGGTTTTCGAACATGCTGGTTCGACGGAAGACGTGCGACCGTACCGTAGAAACGGTCGCACGTCTCCGTTCACACTGCTCGATTCTCGTACGATCGCGGGATTTCCCGCGATTCTCATACGAGAATCGAGCAGTGTATGGGCACCTATAGAGATCTCATTGTTGAGGTCCAAGACATAAAAAAGCTTGAGCGGACTCATATAGTGAAAATTAAAAATTAACTCAACATGCTGGGATCCGATCCTCTTACAAGCTGTGTATCAAATAGTACCGGTTATACTCCTCCAATAGTATGAAATGTGGGAGAGTATGAGGTAAGGGACAACCCAACCACAAAATACAGAAAGTTGAAATAAAAATATACTAAAAAGAAAAATGTGATAACTAAGTACATAAAAACTGGTTAACATCAGTGCCACATCCATGTTAACACAGATAAATAGATGCAAAGCAGCAGTTTACAGTTCACAGAAGACTGTCATCCATCACTGAGGAGTGAGGAGTGTTGAGAGGATGGCTATAGACTGCTATGGCTTGCTACTGGTGCACACACTGAAGGGCTCTCTGGACAACTATGGAGCAAAATAAAATAGAGAAAGCGCACCAACATATTGTAGTTAGATTATACCAAAGGCTTTGAGTAAAGTAAAAAATCTTAGGTACCTACTTAGGCCCCATTCACACCCATATCTTTAGGTGCAATCAGACCTCGTTCACTCCATATGCAGTGCTTGCAGCATTTTCATCGCACCGCACTGGACCGCAGGCACAATGTGCCTTGCGATCCATTGCGACCGGAGGGCATGGCTACGGTGCTATTCACTTGAATGGCCCACCACGCCCCCTCCTGCCCCACTAAAAAGTGTGCCGGCCGCAATGCCAGGCATTGCGTTCTGGCCAGAATCGGGCCGAAACGCACTGCAACTGGTGTGAATGGGCCCTTAGGGATTCTACTTGTGTTTTCCTGCAGCAGGAATTCCTAATTTGCCATTTACAAGCCACAGCTGTCACCCAATCAAAATAATGATCGGGTGGACAGCCTCTGCATTTGAATGCCGACACACTGCGTGTAATCATATGTGATACGATTACATGCGGTTTGGAATTAATCACTCTCCCTGGACACAGCGATCGTGCATCCAGGGATAGTGACTGATTCCTAACTGCATGTAATCATATCACACATGCGGTGTTCTGACGTTCAAATGCAGCGGCTATTACCCAATCATTAACTTCAATGGGTGACAGCTGCCACTTGCAGATTCCCTATACCTGCTGCAGGAAGATGCAAGCTCCTGACGCAAGAAACTCTACTCGCACCTAAAGATATAGGTGTGAATGGGGCGTTACAATTTTATAACGCTATGCAGGAACTCCAGAGCTGACTCATCCTATCATTAAGCCCATCTCCAGACATAAAAAAAAATCACAAGTATCACATCAGCTATAAATTGCATATCGCTTTGGCAGAAAACAAACCTCCTGTCCTGCTGGCTTTATTCTAGAGTTGACAAATCTGTTATTCTACATGCAGCTCCTGCTGTATTTCTGTGTCGAAAGGGATCTAAGCTTTGCAGGTCTCAGTGCTATGGTTGCATCTGTGACCTCTTGAGTCGAGTGTCACTTGATTACGTTTCTCAGGTTTTTATTTTAAGGATCTCTGCCTAGAGGTCATGTTTAAACTGAGAAGATAATTTTTTAAATAATATTTACCTGCAGACGAACATTTCCAGGAGAATAGAAGGGCATTACTAGCTGATGTCCGCGTTGCCATTTGAAAAAAAGGCGTTGTATTTCAGCATCAGGCAGACAAGCCTTGTGGTCTCTTAGGAGGTCTTGGGTCAAAAAACAACAGTGGTTGCCAGAATTTATACTCGCATAAAGGAGGAAAGGATCATCTAATGATCTGTAAACACAGGTAAGAGAGATATACACATAAGGTAAATCATATAGACTGTGCCGATCAATGCATACACAAAAAACGGTAACTCATGTAGACACTGCCGATCAATGCATATGGATACGATAACAGATATAGGCAATGTTGGGTCAGTGTATACACATATGACTGCTCATAAAGACATAGGGGGAAACTATAGCAGACAGAATCTGGAGTAGTTGCCCATGGCAACCAATCAGCTTCTCTGTTTATTCACATATGACAGCTCATAAAGAGACTTTTGGGTCAGTGCATACACATAGGATAGCACATATAGACAACGTTGGGTAAGTGTATACACATATGATAGCTCATACAGACACTGCTGGATCAGTTCTCAAGTCTAAAAAATTATGAATAAGTGAATGATACTTACATATTGTCAAGAAAAAAGCAGTCAGCATATTCCTGCAAGCGCTGAATGTCCTGCTTTACCCACTTCTTTGAGTGGACTAACATGTGCTTCCTCCCCAGCACCAGAATACGTTTTCGCCCTGCTTTTAGGCAAGACACCACATCCAAGAGCTGAAAGATAAGAAAAGAAGAATACATTATGCAAGGGAATAAAAGAAAAAGGCAGAGAAAACAGAGGCACGCTATTCAGGTTGGGACAGTCAAACATAATTTGGGGTCATCTCTACTGGGCTGTTTGCTGGAGAAGAATCTACAGCATCTACTTCTGTTTAGACATGTGCACTCCCAAAAAATTTGTTCAGTTTCGTTTCGTTTTAAATTCGGATTTGTGTTATTTAGTTTTTCGTGATTCAGGTGTGAAAGTCAATTCGGATTCGGAATTCGGATTCGGACGAAATTCGGTAGCGGTAGTTCGTTCGAACGTTCGTTTCGTTCGTTCGTTTGCAGCAAAGTGACATTTGAGGGGGAAATTTTTTTTTCACCTTCTCTAATGTCACTTTGCTCCAACGAACGAAACGAATAAGAAACGAAACGAACGTTCGAACGAACTACCGCTACTGAACTACCGCTACCGAATAAGAAACGAAACGAACGTTCGAACGAACTACCGCTACCGAATTTCGGAAACGGAAATTCGGATTCGTTTGCATTCGTTATATCTGTAATTCGGATACATCCGAATTTCCGAAAATTTGTCCGAATTTCGATTCGGAACGAAACGAATCGCACATGTTTACTTCTGTTTCATTCATTAAAGATCTAAGCTCTGTACTCCTCCCCTGCTACTTTGAAAAGTGTTCCCAGAAGTTATCAGATTATTAGCAGTTTATTAGTTAAGGAGCAAATAAGGCAAAACATTGAAAAGACAATACACTTCAATTAAAGGAAAGGGAAATTTCACTCCAAAACTCCCTCCCATGCCAAGAAGTGCATTGCTAGTATTCAGGAAGATATACATCAGAATACAAGGGAAAAAAAAAAAGGGAGGTACATTCTTTAGGGTATTTTTTAAGCAGTTAAGATTTCTAGCTGTTCCCTATAGCATAGCTAATCTTCACTTTTTGAAGCGCATTGCTAATTTCCAGGAGGAATTCCTGGCTTAGGGCCAGTTTACACCACAAAGTCTGCATTCCAACGAGTTCGGCCTCTGGAATGCAAGCTGGGAGGCTCCCTTCGGTTAGGGGTGGGAGGTGGCATGGCGGTGCATTAAAGCCAATGCCCCAGCCGCCACGCCCCCCACCACAGTGCGATCGCCTGCACCCGAACTCGTGGCACATGAGGGCCTGCGTTCCGGTCCAGTGCGATCTGCAAAAATAGTGCTTGCAGGATTTTTGCAGATCACACTGGACCGGAATGCAGGCAGGTACAGCTGTCTCTGACTCTAGATAGGCAGAGCCACCTATCACTCCTGCAGCTGGGTGGATCTGGACAGTAATGTCGGGATCCGTCCCGGCTGCGGCGTCTCGGTAAATACCGCGATATACTGAGCTTTGGGTGACGGGAGGACGCTAGTTTGTGTCCTCCCATTACCCTTAGGAGAACAATGGGGAATAGCCCTGACTCCATGGTTCTCCTTTAAAGCTGAGCTCTAGTACAGGGGATGCAGCACCAGTCGCATAATTTACCTCTAATGAGGTGTATCCTATGTACTGCTGGCTGCCAGTCACTTTAAAAATCCTCCTGGATCCTAATAACATCGGTGATCAGCTAGCACTGCGGGGATGAGAGGCAGCAGCTGTGACGGCTGGATCCCGTCATTTGACCACCTTCTTCCTGTCGTCTATTAACAAAACTCCTTTATTATGTTCAGAGAATGTAAGAATATGTAATATATATTTTAGGGCTGTGGAAATTAAAGATTAATTTATCGATTAATCGTTAAATATTTTGATCGATTAAAATTATTTTGATCGCTAATGAAAACACTCACCTCTCCGCCGGCTTATAAATTTTTAATCATTATCAGCCCTAATATATTTATATTTATTAAGAAACTAAAGCTAAAACGCTGCTGGGAGGTGTCTTGTGTAGGAAAAAGTTTATTTTCTTTTAACTTTATTGAAGTGTCCCAAAATGTCACTTCATTCAAGTCTACGCACTGCAGCATGTTCTGGCGCGCTGATTTCTATTGCAGTTAGTTGCGCTCCGTAGAAATGCAGCATGTCTTTATTTTTATGCAGCAGCCAGCACATCACCGCAGCAATCTCTTGTGAACAGGGCACGTAGATCACTACACACGCTACAATCTGCTTGTACAATCTCCTTTATGTCTTCAAACAACTATGTGGTGCAAGGATCTAACTGATTGGATTTACATTAATTGTATAGATTAGATAGCAGCTTATCTAAAATTGATTGTACAAAGATGATATAGATTGTATGGTGATCCATAGCGTTGAGCCTTCGTTCATCTGTACAGATCAATGCAGATGATGTGGATGAGCCCTAAAACATCCTGTGCAGATAAATGCAGCTCAACACAAATTGTGGAGCCCATTCAAGGGGTTTCCACAAAAAAATCCAGAGCTGTGATGTTCCAAAGATCACCTGTCTAAGCACTTGATTCTTTATGGTAGAAGTCAAACCCACACTGTTTAGGTAGCTGCACATACGGTAGCAAAGTGCAGGGTATTGCACCGGTTATGAAACTGTAAATATAGATGCAGTGGGGAATTTTGAAACTTTTATTGTTGAGATGTCACATGAAATGCTTTTTACACCGTTACTGTTAATCTTGTGAAGGACAACAGCGTTAACTCAGGGAAGTTCCACAGGATTTCCTCTTCTTGGTTATAAAAGGAAGTCGCTTATCTGGCACTGTTTTCACCATACATAAAATACACTACACATCTCAGCTACACTGAACCATTATAGAACAGATTCTGCTTTAATACATTTCTTCGAAAATACACAAAAGACTATAAGGAAATTATAGGTAATCACAATATATACAAAGATATTTACTGCTGTTTGAGGAAAAAGGTATATGGTATATGCCACATGAATCACATAGGGAGAACAACCTGCATGACAGTGACAGCGCAAATAGTTCAGAAACGAATAGTATTTTATTAGAACAAAACTGAACAATTGCATATGCTATATTAAATCTACCCTTTAAAAATGTATACATATTCAATATGTTATTCAGTAGTATAGTAATCAGTTATGTACACACAGCACAGAATGATTGCCATGTATAGTTTATTCATCATACGATACAAGGCATGTTTTTTTTGCCCTGAGGAAGAAGTGGGACCCTTGAAACCCCCGAAATGCATTGCCATATCGTGCTGATCACAGATAAACTCATTCTGGACATCTATTAGTGAAGTGGCACTTTTTCCTTCAACCTTTCTTCAGATCTCCATAAGGACCCACTAAAAGAATGAGAAAGATGCCAACTTACCTTCACAAACTATCCAGCACAAAAGTGACCTGTCCAGCTCTCCTTACCTTTACTACTCAAACCTGACAGGTCTGAAGTTCTACTCCTCCTTTGTGCCAGTGTACAACTCTGATAGCCTTAGTTGTGCCTTCTTCACTGATGGGAACCTCTGCTTATGCATTTTTTAAATCAGATTCTCAGTTGGAACTGACTATGTTTGAAAGAGATTTACTATATGGCCCATTTCTATTTTGGTGCATTGCATAAACGCACATTATGTTGTGCCTTAATGTGCATTGTGTTAGGGCAGCAAATTCATTTGAATAGGCTGCCAATGTAGTAGAATGTACCAGAAAAGTAATGCACACTTTTTTCGTAAACCAGCACCCCACAATGCTCACTACCGACGTTCCCCCCTCCCCCCACCTCCTTTACAGCTCCCGCAACTTTCTTTCTCCCCCCGCCTCCAGCGGCGTCCGCCGTCCAACCAAAACCGGCGGTCCACCGACTAGATCACTGTCCCCGGCAATGTCCAGTAAGCAAGTGCCGTTCCCCTCGGATCTCAGCCACCGCACGGCAGCTCCTCTGCCGGCCTCCACCTCTCATCCTTCTCCTCTTCCCCCCTCTGCCACCAACACCTGAACCTCAACTTCACACACTCCCTGACATCCACTAACAACTTTCCCTCCACATATCGATCCACTCTGTCCTCACCATGTTGCCTGGACACCAGCACACATCACCAATTTCAAAGAGGAACGGACTTCCACCTCCTTACTCAGTGACCCGGCAAGACATACAGCATTGGACAACAACCTCAGACTTTGGAAACAGGACCTCCTTTCCAAGCCCAGAGCAAGCCTACCCTTGGATCGCATCCATCAAATACCTCCACCTGAACAGACAACCTCACGAATCAGGACTTGCAACACTTCTACACTTGCAAACTACCACAGGATCTCCATCGCTGCTGACATCGCCACACACCAAACCTCTTAGTAAGTAGAGAATTCACATTCCTATACATACTACTGCAGAAACTCTGATGTTTGCCATTGTTTTCCTTCTACATTGGCTTTCAACCGGGATTGTGGTTGAAAACCGGGGACGTCCTTCCAACCCCAAAACACGACTCCACGACCATACTAACAAAAATGTCCCATCATCACACCACCCATCACATGTAAGCGCTGAACATCCCCTTTCACCACCCCACATATACACATCCTCATTTACTCATCACTCCCCATCCACACACCTGGCACCAGACTGTTGTGCTCCTGCCCTCTTCTTCTTTTTCCTGTTCAGTCTTACAATTGGGCACCCCGGTCCAACCAGTATAGGAGCAGCACACTGGTCACTCTTGACTACGCCACCCTGGGAGTGCGCTATCAATCAGTCTCATCTGAACTTTCTTTCTGCAGGTACAACTATTGCTCTTTTGACATTGCAGTGACGGGGTCACTTTTAGTTGACACTAAACGCAGGAGTTAAATCTTAAAAATACATTCAAGTACCTTATTACCAAACATGTAGTTTATTTGTGTATCACTCAGCTGTAGAGCCACAAATCATCTCTGAATTGGTGCTGACACTGTCCTTGCTTCTGGAGGGGGGCTACTTTTGTTCCCCATGCTCCCTGTGTGTGCTGTAAAGTAGCCACCGCTCAAAGCTCCCTCCTGTGATATCGCAATACAAATATGTAAACTAAACGTGAGATTGT